CCTTTGGACTCAGATTTCTCTTATCAGACTATTGCCTACTTGAAGCTATTCCTTCTATCACCCAAGGTTATTCTCACAGTTCATTACATCTGATTTCAGGAGTGTGGACCCAGGATCTAGAAATTGTCTTGTGATCTTTTTGTCAAGAGCCTTAATGTCCTCATTTTCCTGTTATCACTGATTATACCCTATCCCCATCACCTCATTGAAGGAAAAGAACATCCAAGAGGTGAACTTTACTGAGGGTGACTGAGATATCTTTTACTGAGAGCCATGAAATCTGACAATTGTAATGCTGTTAGTAACTTATCAGGATGAATTGAGAACAAAAGGAACACACTGTAATATGTTTCAACTCAGCCAAGGCTTTGTTTAACATTCTTTAAAGCTAGTTTTGTCTAGCATGTGGGTAAGTGTGAAAATAAGGTAGCAGGAAATTATGACAGCAATATAGACCTAAGTAATAATAAGCAGTTAAAAACACCATGCCTGAAACACCATGAATAACGCATTAAACTAGAGATTAGACTCTTGAGGTCTTAAAAGATGCTGTCTTCTATTCAAGAAGAGACTACAACTTTTACTGTTACGATACGTTGTATATAAATTATATAAATTGAAAATATCCCAGAGCTGATTCATATCATTCATAGGAAACAAAAATCTTTGCCATGCCAACTACCTTTTCCAAGGAAACCATTGCTTCTTACTCATTTAGATAATTTTGAGGCCTAGTGAAAACAATAAATTGGCTCATGATTGCATGAAACAATCTCAATTAATAAACAATGCTACTATCAGAGCATATCAAAGTGAAAGGTAAGCTGTTGTGGCTTTGTAGTGATTAATACCTGTTTCTTTAAAAAATGTTAATCTGGTTTTTTTTGGGGGGGGGTAAGCAAATGTGTCTGTTCCCTCAATATGCCTTTCCATGAAAGGGCTCCTCCTAGTATTATGGCACTCCTGACTCTGCCCTGTAAGCCTCATTGGGCTTCAAGTGAGCAAGTAGTAGATCAGTGGTTCTCAACCTGTGGGTCGGGACCCCATTTGTGGTTGAATGACCATTTCATGGGGGTCACCAAACCATGCTGTCCGCCATTTTTTTCCCTTTTCCCTAGCTGTCCTACTCCCTCTTATTGGTGGCCACACCCACTTGGGGGTCACCACAACATGGGGAACTGTATTATGGGGTCACGGCATTAGAAAGGTTGAGAATCACTGTAGTAGATTGTAGATATATAGTAGGTACATATTTAGTCACTTTAAATTTAGGGTATAGCCAGGCAGCAGAACAGGAAAAAGTTTTAAACTTGCCTTAGGATTATATTAAACACTGTAAATCTTGGAAGTTATTTCATTAATTTATTAATTTAAATAGTATAGTTAATAGAAATGGGATAATGGAATATTATTGGGCTAACTTATTAAAGCAAAATGTTGACTTAAGATGGTGGGGGAAATTTATGCACAGTGATACCTAAACGGTAGTTTTAACAGAACCTGTAGGAAGAAAACAGTTTAAAACTGCACTCCCAGCCAGCCCAACATATCTTCTTAATAGTTAAATGCAAATTGCTTCATGTTCATATTCACCTTTGTTTATATTATTGAGACAAATGCAACTTCTATAACAGCACCTCAAAATTGCTAGACAAGAATATAGTCACTAATAAAATTTACAAAAAGCAACAGTGCAAGCTCCTAATTAGTCTCATTTCTTACAATGATTTAAATGTCACTAAAAATATCAGAATAGTTACTGAGCAAATATTTTAGCCTGGTTCTCAATTGAGCCCAACTGCTGAAGCTGAAGAAACAGCACACACCCACCTAAGCTTTATAATTTTAAATCTATTCTTCTGCTGTCTCCCTTAACTCATAAATAGTAAATATTTATATTTTCATAAGTCACAGCTTCTTAAAATATACAATCTTTACAGAAACAGAAAGCAGTCCATTACAGAGTAATCCTTAAATCAAATTACAAATTGCAAATCATGTATCACTACAACCATGTTAGATGAAATTCTGTTTTTCATCTGCAGTGATGTTTACAATGAAATTTTATTTTATAAACTTTCTATTTTAATGTTATTCTTCACTCTATAATTTTAGAAAATATGAGGCTTTTTATTAAAAGGAAATATGATAAACAATCTTCCAAAAAATGGAGCACAATACATCAGTTGTGATCTTCAATTAATTGATAGTTTTATCAAAAATACTGAAGATGGGGGAAAAAGTAAAGGCCCTACTTCATTTTAGATAATCCCATTATACTGTCTGTCCACTTTGAAATATTTTGTAACATATATTGCTTTGAAAATCTTATAAAATGATATAATACATTCTACTTAAGCTCCTGATTTTAAAAAATATATCACTTGTAACAGAATCAAAGCTTAAATTCCTAAAAGAGTTAAAAAGTCTCATAATTTTGAAGTTAATTTATAAATCACTACATAAAACAGTAAGTTCCTAATGGTTATAATCTTTTTATTAAAAAATATTCATTTTATGAATCATTTATGCAAAATTGAATAAAATAAAAGTATAAAACTTATTCTATTACAGTAGAGATTGAGAAAGATCCATACAAACAGCAAAACAGTTTTTATCAGTCACAATTTCCCATGGGAAGAACAAAATGAATCCCTGCACAGTCATCCTTTAAAACTAAACAGCAATTATACTCAAGGTCATTTCATTATCTCCCGCCCCCTCTCCCCCCAAAAAAGTTGGCTAAGAACAGGGATGGGAAGAGGGAGAGACAGAAGATTTATTAAAGAATTGGCTCAAAACTGTTCTATAAGTTTTGTGGAAGCCAGAAGGGGGTGCTGTTTTCACTTGAGGCAAGGGGCAAAGCAGTTTGATAAAACTTTAGGTACTGTGTGAAATACAGAATGGTGAAGACTCAGATATGTGGACCTAGCACAATTCTTTGTTACAGGCCCCTATTTCAGGCCAGAGCCAGAAGGGTTGTAAATTATTTTAGAACTAACTACTGGCAGTTCAAAGTTTTGTTTTTCACAACATAAGACAGTAACACCTACACCATTAAGAGGGGAATCTTTTTTTAAAAACCCATAGCTGTTTTAAAATGCCTTATGCATATTGCCTTTTATAAGATAAGGAGGCCTATCCCTCCCACCTGCAAGAAATGGAATAGCCCTGAGCATTTTGCTAACATAACACCCATTTAATCATCACTAACATTTTGGTGCATTGGTCTCCCTTCCCCCATACCTAGGAAAACAGATACACACATTCCAGCCCAGCTTCTCGGCAGAGGTCGCCCCACTCACCCCTCCCCCAGGCCTCTTTAAGCTCCCAGAATCTGATGGGCTTCCAGTTCAACATACTTTTACACACCAACCGAAAGGGAGAAAAAGCTTCAGTGGAAAAATCCTTACGCCTGATAAGCAACCACACAAAAAACACACATGGGGGGGGGGAAGAACGGTTGTCCTTTCCTCTTTGACGGGGGGGGGGAAGAAGGGGAGGGGAAATAAAAGAGAAGATAAAAGCAAAGGATACAAAGAGTAAGATGCAGATACGGAGAAGGAATTTTTTTTTGGGGGGGGGAGCCGTGTCAGCCATGTTTTGCTTGTGTGTGCATAAGCATGTATGTGCCTGTCCATCCCCAGTATTTACAAACCTGCAGCTGCGGCAGCTCATGGAGTCTGTGAAGGAAAAGAAGGGAGGGGAAGAAAGGAGGGGGAGGAAGAGCGACCAGGAAGGAAGGGAGAAAGGCAGAAAGAAAAGAGCGAAGGGAGGAGAGACAAGGCAGCCACAGCAGACAAAGGAACTCAGCAAAGCCTGACAGACACACTCACACACATACAGCCGCAGTGTGAGGAACTGTGGAAATGTCTGCTGCTTCCTGACACGGCGATTCAGCTCCCTTACTCGGGGAGTGGAAAAGGGGGGGAGGGGGAGCGCATTCTCCCAGCCACCACTTCGCTCACACACACAAACACACACACACACACACACACGCCGCCCGAAGCAGCCTTTTCCGTCCGCCCCCTCCCCGCGGGCAAGAGGGAGACCATTCCCACGGTTTTTCGGGGGAGGGTAGAAGCGGGGAATCCGGGCGCCCCTCGAGGGGCCCCCGCCTGGCACACAATAGCGGGGAGGAACCAGAGAACGCTGAAGCGACCTGGGGGTGGGGGGGGGAGACCAAAGCCAGGGCTGGCGCCTCCCCCAAAGGAGGAGCAATTAGAGAGCCGTGCAAGGGGAGGGGGCGGAGGGTCTGCTCCGCTCCCCACCAGGTTGCCGAGGGCTCCCCTCTGGCTCCGCTCCCGCTTTCTTCGGGGAAACAGCTTCCGGGAGGGAGGGGGCGAGGGAGAAGCGGAGGGAGGAGGAGCGGCAGCCCAGGCCCGCCGCGAATGAATAATAAATAACTCCAACCCCAGGAGAGGGGAGGGGAGCGGCGCCTCCCCCACAGCGCCACCCTCCGGTTGTGGCCGGTATTGACTGGCCGAGCCAAGGGCGGCGCGGCAACTCCCGCTTCCCCCCTCCCTTCTCCTCCGCGCTCGCCTTCTCTCACCTGCTGCCGGAGTCTCGTCCTTCGCGGCTTCCTCCGCCGCCTCCGCCTTCGCCCGGGCAGGCGTGAGGTGCCCGGCGGGGGGGTGGCGTAGGCGGTGGGGCCAGAGCTGCAGAGGCTTCGCCACCCCCGTTCGCCCGTCCAGGCCGCTCAGCTCCTCGGCGGCGGCTGCTGCGGCTCCTCTTGTCTCGCTTGGCCCCCTCCTTCGCCGCCGCTGTTTAGCCCTCCTCTCTCTTGCCACATTGGGAGCCTCCCCTCTGCCTGCGCTGGAGCTGCTGCCAGGAGAGAGGCCTCCGCACCTTCCTGCCAAATAATGAGCCGCTCCAAACACGCGACCCCGCCCTCCTCCGTTTTGCGGCGCGCAGGCGCAATGCCTCCCTTGAACTGCGACAGGAGAGAAGCGCCTCGAGCTCGCTCACCTCCCTCCTACCCCGATCCGGGAAGCCCACCGCTCGGCTGGCTCTGGCCGGGGAAGCTGCCGGGCTGGACGGCTTCCGCGGCGCTGGGCTTAGGCTGGGGTGCCCTTGGGGGAGGCGGTCCTCTGGCACCCCGGAGCAGTCCACGCGGCTACCTTGGTGTTGGACGCCCTTCTTCTAGATCTTATTTTCAGGCAGCGAAGAAGGTCCGTGTTATCCAATCCCAGGTACCTGTGTTTAAGTGATACCCTACATTTCCCGTAGAAAGCTGAAGTACATCATGATTTCTGCAGGGTCACGCATTTTCAGCGCAGATGCCAAAGCTCTTGTGCAGAGTATGAAATGAATGTGTGCAAAAGTTGGCGTTTGAGGGGGCTGATGAAAGCACTACCGTAAGAATTTATTCCAACTCCCTACTTTGGGACTGAAAAGTGTTGCAGGTAAAGCCCACAGTACCAACTAGTATCAATAAACAACTCTGGCTCACAGATGTGGCACAAATGGGCTTCCTTTGAATCCCAGAGTTGACTATTATTTTTGGCAACAAAGCAAACCCTTTGCAGCTGCTACTTTTTGTTTGATGGACAGAACCAGACTGTACTCTTAGTCAAGACGTCCTTCTGTGTGTTGCTAAGCTCTTGAAAGATATGGGATGCAAGCCTGTAAGATGCATGTAAACATTGCTTAGGTAAATTCCTATGAAAACAGAAATAACAAATATGGATTTAAAATTCATTGAAAGTAAAACCAGATGATCCAACTAAGTATATTTTATTCACACCCAAACAGATTAGCCCTGCATACTCTTCAGCTGAAATAAATTGACAATAATTGTAAACAGGTGTTGGGAAGAAGCTTCCTCTGGAAAAGAGAAAAGTGGCTCTTATTATTTTATTTTTTAAAACACTTCACAGACTAAAAAATTGTAACTTTTGTAACAAGCTGTAGCTTCAAAAATACAAATAAAGGGTTTATTCTCAGCAGGTGGCAGCAGCTGGCCAACTTTGCTGTATTTAGATTTGGAAACTAAGCAGGATTGGCCAGTTTAGTCCTTGGATAAGAGACTTCCACAGAATATCAAAGCAATTGGTTAGTTTGGGAAGTTAATAAACATCATTGAAGAAGGCAATAGGAAACTATTTTGTCTACTGCTGCTAAGGAAGCAATGTAGATAAGACTGTGAAGTTTACTGTATCTTTTTTAAAATCCATCTTGGTGGTGAATTGGTCAATTCTGGTGAACTTCAGAAATCTCATTCAGCTCAACTCCTGCTCCATAATTTATTCAGTTTCTCTAAAATTAATTGCACTTTATTCACAGAGCTTTTCCAAAGAAGTTGGCAATTGCCCTAGGTCTCACATATCATCGACTCTTTATCCATCAGTATCTGCAGAGGAAGTCAAGGCATGCAACACAGTAGCTGGAGCAGCACAGCTAAATCTCATTCCTTTTGCATGTGCAACAATGTGACATGAACATACAAAAGGGTGGAAGTTCAGCCCATATGCTGCAACTATCTTCTTGCTTTTTTAACACACACACACACACACACACACACACACATCTTTGTGGCAGCTACTGCCGTATCTAAAGTATGTCAGTAATTTATCACATGAAATGCTTTTATAATGCTCTTGCTTTAGTATTTGGGTTTCCTCGTATTTCTATTTTTGGGGCCATCTGGCAGAAAATCACCATGAAAGACAATTGTTTAAACCATTATTATTGCTAGCTTTCTAGGAAAAAGGACGCTAGTGTAATGTGCTTCTTAAAACTATTTTATCCCAGGACCCTTTTTCATTTTTCAAAATTGTAGAGGACCCCTAAAAAGCTTTTGGGTTTTTTTGTGTAATACGTATCAATATTTACTGTATTAACAATTAAAATTGGCATATTGGTTGCCGCTACCACATCTCATGATTTTAATATTGCATTATTTTTCAACATAGGCCACAAATAATTTTGTTTTTGCAAACCCCTGAGAGGGTCTTGGGGACCCTCAGCGGTGCTTTGATCACACTTTAAGTAATAATAACTTAGAAGAAATGTGTACATGTTTATAGCTAACTGTGCTTGTAGAATTGATAAAAAACAGCTAATGGCAAACCCTTAACTTAGTCCTGTAGGAGGTTTTCATTGATAGCTGCTTAAAGTAGGACTGTCAGCTTTGAAAATGAGCATGGCTGTGGCCATTTTCCATATTCATTTTCGGTTGACACATTGAAGGGGGGAGGGGGATTGCCAGGTGCTTCGCTAGTCAAAATATCTTTTGTCCTATGGCACGGGTCGGCAACCTGCAGCTCGGGAGCCGCATGCGGCTCTTTGAGCCATCCCCTGCGGATCCGGAGCCTCCCCCCACCATTGTCAGAGACAGACAAGGAAAGAGAGAGGCATTTTCTCTCTCTCTCTCTTTCTCTCTCTCTCTCTCTCTCTCGGACTTGCCCCCTCGCAGGGCTCCTGATTGGCCCTGCGCCTGGGTGCCCCACCCCCTGGGAGAAGGGCAACCAGGAAGTCCCTTTCCCAGGCTGGCCCCATCTGAGGTGCACGTGGCTGGGGAGCCGTGCAGGGAAGCCCCAAGATCCCCTCTGGGAGTGGCCCACCTGAGCCTCCGCTGAGCAAGCCAGCCATTCCACAAAGTGCGGCCCCGAGGGAGAGCAGCCCCTCCGATGCCCAGCTGGCGTGACCATTGGCCAAGCAGCAGCAGAGCCGGAGACAAGAGGGTCAGTGGCGGGGGGAGGGAGGGTGCTCTGAGTCCAGGGAGCACTGCTGCGAAGCGGCCGCAGGGCAGGTGGTGCCCTCCCGGCTTACTTGTTCCAGACGGCAGTTTCAGCTGGGGCATCGCTTCCTGGGCCGTCCCAGGGCAGCCAAGCCAGCCACATGTCGCCCCGGGCTGGGCGGCAGTCATAGCCGGTGAGGCGGCCAGCGAGGGCATTGCACCCCGGGAAGCCAAGCCGGCCACGTGTCTCCCCAAGCCGGACCGGGCGGCAGTCATGGCTGGGCCAGCGGCTGGCAATGGCAGCGCTCCCTGGAAAGCCCAGCCAGCCACGTGTCTCCCCAGGCTGGGCGGGCTGGCAGTCAGGCATGAAGCTCACCTGACTGCCACAGGGCTCTCCACTGCCCGGCCCCATTGGTGACGCCTTCCTTGGCTGCTTTCAGGCAGCTGCCGCCACCGCCACCCTCGGTGCTGCAGGATGAGACCTTGGGCTGTGAGGCCAGCAGGGCTGGTGGCAATCAGGACCCCCCCTCATCCCTGTGGCAGCACTCCCCATTGCCGGCGCAGCCGCTCATGGTGCACCCGGCCTTGGTGCCCTCCTCTTGCAACAGCGAAGTGGCTGAGGATGTGGCGGGGGCCGGGCCGGGGGCAGCAGGGAACCCGACCATGCTGCAGTGGTCGCCACCGGAGCCACTGCCTCCCGTCCTGCTTCCCCTCCCTGCCCGTTCAGCTGAGGATGCGGCGGGGGGGGGTGGCTGGGATCTGCTGCCTCCCATCCTACTCCCCTCCCTGCCCATTCGGCTGAGGATGTGGGGGGGGGCGCGGCTGCTCCTCCTCCCCATCTGTTTGCGCAGTCTGCCTTTTGCTCTCTCTCTTCACCTGGAGGGAGAAGGAGAGAGAGAAAGAGAGAGAGAGGAAAAAGAGAAAGAGGAAAGGAAGAGAAGAGAAAAAGAGAGGAAAGAGAGAAGGTTAGAGGAAAGAAAGAGGAAAGAGAAAGAGAGGAAAGAGAGAAAGAGGAAAAAGAAAGAGAAAGAGGAAAGAGAAAGAGAGGAAAGAAAGAGGAGAGAGAAAGGGGAAAAGGAAAGAGGAAGAGGAGAGAGAAAGAGGGGAAAGAGAAGAGAGAGGAAAGAAAGGGGAGAGGAAAGAGAAAAAGAGGAAAGAGGGAGAGAGAGAAAGGGGGAGGAAAGAGAAAGGGGGAGAGGAAAGAGAAAAAGACGAAAGAGAAAAAAGATTGAGAAAAGGGAAAGAGGAAAGAGAAAGAAAGAAGAAAGAGAAAGAGAAATGAGAGAAAGAGAAAGAGAAAAAAGAGAGGAAAGAGAAAGAAGAGAAAGAAGAAAGAGAGAAAGTTAGAGGAAAGAGAAAGAAAAGAGAAAGAGAAGGGAGAGAGGAAAGAGAACGGAGAAAGAGAAAGAGGAAAGAGAGAAAGAGGAAAGAGAAAGGAAAGGGAGAGAGAGGAAAGAGAGAAAGAAGAAAGAAGGGGAGAGGAAAGAGAAAAAAGAGGAAAGAAAAAAGATTGAGAAAAGAGAAAGAAGAGAAAGAGAGAAAAGAGGAAAGAAAGAAGAGAAAGAAAGGAAAGAGAAAGAGGAAAGAAAGAGAGAAAATTAGAGGAAAGAGAAAGGAAAGAAAGAAAGAGAGAGAGAAAGAGAGGAAAGTGACAGACCCTTTTGACATCTAAAATGAAGATAACGCTGCATATATCCTTTTTTATCTTTATTTTATACACACACACACACACACACACACACACACACACACACACACACATTAAAGGTAAAAAAGGATATATGCAGTGTTATCTTCATTTTAGATATCAAAAGGGTTTTGCGGCTCCCAGTGTTTTGTTTCGGTGGGAAACGTGTCCAAGTGGCTCTTTGAGTGTTTTGGGTTGCCTACCCCTGTCCTATGGGAACCAAGGTCATCAGCTGCTGCCGAGACTGCTGGCTGGGCATTTCCATTCAAAGCCCACCAAGATGATGTATTGGGGAATGTAGTTGCTTGCATAGCTTTAGAGGAGAGATTTCTTAACTTTGTATTGGGGAATTGTTATGTGTGTTTTCAGACTTGGTTTCACTTTTGACGTGCCGATACTTTGTAACTAATAAACATGTTCTTTGAGGAATTTCCTAGCCTCGGAGTTCTGCTTTATTTGTCTCTGTCAGAACCATGACATTAAACCAAGTCTCATAAAACTTTATTTTCTCAGAGTGCTGGGCTCCAACTGCCTACCCACTCACTTTTGGGCAAGTGGTAAAGACTCGGCGAAGACTTGAGATGGAGGAGAAAATTGAAATCGCTGCTAGCCACAATGGGACTCAGGCTGTCGGAGCGCAGGCAGGCACTCCAGCCACCAAGGAGGCATCACTGGCAGGGGCTTAGCCAAAGACCAGGGTGATCCAACCTGGGAAGCTGGCACCACAGGAAGGAGCTACAGCCCTAGTGGACCTCTTCCAAGCCAAGGCTGCCCCGCAGCGCAGAAGCACTCCTGTAACCGCTGGAGAGAAGTTCCTATTGCTGCCATCCCAGGATTCTTTATCTTCGTGAGTCTGCATGACAGGTAAGTTACCAGTGATATGTTAGCAGACTTGCAATAGACCATCTGGCACAAAGCACATCTCTAATCCAAACCATTTTATTATGCCCAATGTCTAATTGGACACTAACATCCAGAGCTTTTCCCTCGTGCACCATTATGTGGACTAGAGTTCACCCTCCTCATGATCACATGCATCAATCACATTAGCAACATATAACTCATAATCGTTACTTTCGTTCTGTGACAATTTTTCAGTTACAGGTTACATACTTAAAAAAACAGATTTATAAACTTGCAATTCCTGTCTAATCACCCCTACTCAAAACATTGTTAAATTACTGATCTAAAATAAAGTAAATGTTAAAATAATGAAGGCCAGTGAGGCCTTCATTTCCATCAAAATGAAAGCTGATAGGGTTATCAGCTAGGATGTAATTCAAAAGAAGTTGAGAGCTCAGTGAAGGGCTGAATTAGCCTCTTTCCTGCTCGTTATACTATTCAGTTGCATAATGTGTTGGGCCCTAAGCAGCAATTTCCAATTAATCCACATCTACACATTACTACAGTTTTACTCCCTGTTTGGAAGGGAATCCTTCTGATATCTGGAATGCTACCCTCAGATAACAATATTCTATAATATTTCCATTAAAATGAGTGTTTTAGTTTTGGTTCATAGGCTTTTATTTTTTATGTTTACCCAACCATTCTATGCCCTTCTTTGATTCAAAGATGTTGATTTAAAATGGAATATCATCCTGTTCTTTCTGTTATGATCCCTCTCATTACTGGTGTTTGCAAACAGATGATTTTAACATGACTCATTAAGCCAATCATAAATCATCTAGTAAATATTCTTGTTTGCAAATTAGTTTCTGCTTAAACATGGGTAGTTTCTCAGTCAAGGCCCACATTTTCTATGATGATTGTCCAAATACTATCCAACATTTCTCTGTAAGGTAGAATTTTTTTCTTTAAAGAAAATATTGAAAGTACCTTGACCAAACAATTTATCAAGACCTTACAGACTACATGTCCTGTGTAATTTGGTCTACTGGTTAAGGAACCAGGACAGAATCCCACCTTAGCCATGAAAGCCAGCTGGGTGACTTGGACCAGTCTCTCTCTCTCTCTTAGCCCAACTTACTTCACAGGGTTGTTGTGAGGAAAATAGGAGGAAGACGTGTATGAGATATGTTCACTGCCCCGAGTTATTTGTAAAAATAATAAAGGGGAGATACAAATAAGTAAGTAAATGGCAAAGTCAGTACAGATTAGCTTTCAGAAAGAGTTGTACACCTACCTCATGCATTGTTTTCAGATTGAGGAAAAAAATGATTCCGTTCTTCTGCAGGAATAAAAAAAGTGGTATAAGGGGCCTAAGAGGAAGACTTTGTTTCTGACTCCCCCATACCCTGCCCATTAACTAATATTCACCTCCACCCTGGATACATTTAAAATGAAATGATACATAGTGTCACAGGGCAGGTTTCAAAATACCTACTGGGTGATGAAAACTGAAGGGTGGAACAAAGGAAAGGAGACTGAGAGAAATGGAACAGAAAATGATGATGAAGGAAGAAAGAGGTAAGTTTCAGGTGAAAATGACAACACAATAAACGTGTTTAAGGCTCCATGTTTGATAAGTGAGAAACATAAGATGGCCATGTCTCCATATTTGTTAACTGAATTTTGAATATGATGAGACCACAGTAAAGAGTTAGTGAAGGTATGAGAACAGCCTAATATCAAGTTCTTTTCATCATAGCACAATAGCCAATTCACACATTCAAAAGAAAGCTTCAGCATGAATGTTTAAACTGACCCTTAACAAATTCATCAAAACCAGGCTTAGCTTTGTTTTTAAAGAAATTGCCTGAAGTGATAAGACACAATGATCCATGACTCATCCAATATTCACACGTAAAACCATTTTTATGGTCTAATTATTTTAACAGTTTCCATATGAATAAAAAAGTTAACCTATGAACTCAGAATATCTCTCCTGTTGACAGAATAAGAAGGGTTTAAAAAAAAAATCTTCAGCAGTTATGTTAATTTATGTCTTTAATTCAAAAACACTTATTATGATTGCCCTATTATAAAATAGGATAACATAATTGTTCAATGATTTTAAAAATTATTGGCTGCTTCATAAATTGCATTATGTGGCTGGTTTTAGGCTTAGCATACTGTTTGAACTCGCCATTGCAGCTTGTAAATTATTGGGCAGAATGTTGTGAGAATTCTAGCAATTTTTTTTTCTTCAATAAACCCGTACTTAGGCAAATTCATAACTAAAGGTTTAGTGCAGGGGTGTCAAACTCAATTTCATTGAGGGTTGCCCTCGGGGTGTGTGTGGCCAGGGTGGGTGCAGCCTACTGGGTGGGCATGGATGGAGTGGGTGTGGCCTACTGGGTGGGCGTGGCCAGCTCTATATCATAAGGCTAAATAGGTTTCAGTATAGATGGCCACCACAAAGTTGTACATTGGCTCCCGGCCGGCCTGGGCTAGGGCCAAGGCAGTGGGGGCCGTTCCCTCACTGTTTCCAGGATGGCTTTGCGGGCCACATGAAACCACTTCGCAGGCCGCATCTGGCCCCCGGACCTTGTGTTTGACATGTCTGGTTTAGCGTTTGACTAATAAAAAGAGCATGATAATAAACAAGAGAGAGTATCTCTACCTAAGATTCTAGACAATCGTTGCTAGTTCAATTAGATAAAACAACTATGTACCGGTAGTACTGAAGAGCAAAATGTGCTTCAAAGCATATGTGGGCTTGGACACAGCAACCATTGGTAACTCCTTCAATCAAACATGTTTCTTTCCAGGATTGCATTGCAACTCTGGGGAGTAGCTACATGATCCCAGGTAAAAACCTATCTGCTTTATTGAATTTCTAACAGGTGTTATATGAAAATCACCCTACATACTCAAGCTCCTTTATGCCTCTTGATCCAGAGGCTTGCATGGCCTTAGTAGATACTACTGAACTAAAAAGGCCATTAATTTGATTAAAACTATTTGTGACTTCTTAAAATATTTTATCCTTAATAAACAAACAAAATCTTTTTGTGTCATTTTTTTCCTGACACAAATCTCAGGTGATTTGTTAATTTTGTTTCACTTCAGAGTTCTGTATAAATTGTTTTATTGTTTAGGTTAGAGTCCTGAAGCATTGCAACATTATAAGACGTGTATACATTCCAAATGTTTTCAATTTCTACTTCTAGAAAAGTAGAAAGTAATTGGTAAGTCATGTCATGAAATACATTGCACTGATGGGTAGCTTATGGAAAGAAGAAAATTATGATGTAGCCTTAGAGCGGATAAAATATAAATGCATTTATAACCGCTGTCAAATAGATTGGAAATTGTTTATTTATAATCTCTTTTTTATTCACTTTTCTTCCTTATTTTCTTTGTTTATTTTTGTCATATTTGTGTGTTTTTATCTTGTTTAAATTTCTTCAATAAAAATATATATTTTAAAATAATAAAATACATTACACTGGTTAATTTTACCCTAATATAGATTAACAAAATCAATTTTATTTGGGAATTGGAAACAGTTATATAAAGATGCTCAGTGCAGGTTGGACACAGAGAGTTCCATAGCTCTTATTCAGCACCTTCTGTTGAAAATATTCTCAGATAATAAGGCTGGATGGAATCTTCACCCATGTTCCTAGAGAACTAGTGTCAGTCCATGGACACCAGTTTTCCCCAACTGCTTGTCTTAAAGATACATTGAATTCATACTACCGTGGCACAGTTTGTTTGATGGGCTCTGGCAAAGCAGATGTTAACCCTACTAGATGAAAAAAAAAAAAGGAATCTAGTTTGTAATAGGTAAGCTTCCTGTTGAAATGTTCTGTTCTTGACTACTGATAAGCAAAATGTTCTATTCTTAACTACTGATAAGCATTATGTGGTTTTTAGTATGGGTGAAAAAATTGGGTGCATATGTATGTGTATTTACTGTATGTATGTATTAAAATAGCAAAAATCTCAGAAAATTGTCAAATCTCTCAAGATGTTAGCATTCTTAAATAAAACAAAACAAAATCTTGTCAAATTTGAGGACTTTACAAGATTTCAGCTACTTTGAAAAAACCATTTCTTGAATTTTGGAGATCTGCAGAGGATAGTTAGGGATACCACATGTGACTGGGTGAATCACAGTTACCACATTACCAACAAGTGATTTATGGAATAGTTATTGAAAAAAATTGAATGATGTAATGTTCCACATGAAGGGAAAAGGTGAGGAAACCACTGACCTAGCCTAAGAAAAATAAAGTGTAGGGGCCAATGATTGGGAAATGCTGTGCTTCAATAAGATAACCACCAAAGTTTTGGAAAGGTGACATCCTTTCCCTTGAGATTCCAGGTTTCAGATTGATTACATGATATCCAAGAGATGTCTTTAAATGAAATACATGCCTGGGTCACTTATTCTTAGAATTCTCAGTTTTTCTGTGGGTACCAATGAACCTGTGGGCACTTTGCTTGGCTGCATGAGAACCCTGCCACATCTGCTAGTGTGTGTGTGTGTGTGTGTGTGTGTGTGTGTGTGTGTGTGTGTGTGTGAGAGAGAGAGAGAGAGAGAGAGAGAGAGAGAGAGAGAGGGATGATATATACACATATATCCAGTGGTGGGGTTCAAATAATTTAACAACCGGTTCTCTGCCCTGATGACCATTTTAAGTATTAAAAAACGATATACTGAAAGGTAGTTTATTATTTCATGCATTTAAAACTTAAATAAGAATAAAAGAGGTACACAAAACTAGATTATGTTATAAGAAAGAGTTTTAAAATATTAATAAAAATATTAAATATTAATATTAATAAAATATTAAATAATACCTGACAAAAACAATAAAACTGTTGTTGAAGATATTTCCATATTGCTTCTTGATTGGCATCCTCACTTGCAATTTTCTTTGCTTTTGTCCGAGTGCTCTGCATAGTTAGACAGGAAAAAGTTCCAGAGCCTCAACCCCAGCTAATATTTGATG